TACTCCAAGAAGCAGCACTTGGTTGTGTCCATAATAAAATGTGTCTGATGACTTTAATCATAAGTCATTTCACTTAGATTAACATAAGGAAGAATTTCTTTATAGTGAAGTTAAAGAAGCTTATTCACTTAGTCTCCCGGAATTTCTCCATCAACCTCTCTGCTATTTAATCTCTAACTCTCCACATCTTGAAAGGTAAGACCTACCCCATTTAGTCTTGGCCCCTGGCATTCAAAACAGGGCTCTTGCTTATGCTTAACTGTTCATTGTTTTGTTTTTGTTTTTCGCCTGTGAAACTGATGCCTATTCATAAACTCCAAATTTCTTTCAGGTGTTTTGTTTTCCTCTCTTTAGCTACTCATAGCAAAAAATGTGCTTCTTTAATACATATTTTATCATTCCTTATGCACAGTAACTGACACATCCTCATCATCGTTTAAGTTATATTCCTAATTAGTTTGTGCTGAGTGAAACAAATTGATTCCATTCCGTTATTTTTAAGTGTGCATCAGTCTGAAACTTTTATTTATTTATTTAGTCGGCTCTAAACTCTGGAAGCAATATGGCAGAGTAAAATGATCACAATTCTAGGGTCCAGCAGATCTGGAATCATTTTTATATATCTATGAAAATCTTCACAAATAAATCCATCACTCTGAACTTAGGCCACCTTATCTGAAAAATCACTGTCTACTAATGTTGTTGTTGTTGTTGTTGTTAAGTATTGTCAAGTTGGTTCTGACTCATAGTGGCCCAAGGAACAGCTGATGAGCTTAAATTGCGGACCTTATGGTTCAAACCAACCTTGCAGTCCAGCGCGTTAACCCACAGTGCCAGATGGTGCTGTAAAAATAGTCACACATGTAGTGATAGATATGTAGCAGAGAAACAGGCTCTATATTAATTTCTCTTCTCTCTAGCTGACAACATTAAATTAATTGTATTCTTATGTAGATTCCAACCTCTAATCTACTTCATATTTCATATGAGTTGGAGTCTACTTATCTCAGGGCCGTAGATCAACCAATTCATATGGCTTCTGCTTCACCTCCATGGAGCTTATTAACTTAGCAACATTCCTTCCTAAACTCTGAAAATATCCTGAAGTACCTTCAAAAAGGCTTCTCGAGGAATGGATAAAATAATTAAATTAATAAAATGATATAAATTTTGCCACTTTTGTAAAATTCTAGGGTAGTCATTGCTTTGATGAAATCGTCATCTAATGACAACTCATTTTTTTCTGCAGCAGCTTGGAGCGCCAGACATTTCTTTACATGAGGAATCAACAATATTCTAGAAAATCAAACTTTATATTCTTCAAAATCTTTGTCTTCCTAACTCACGCTTCCTAGAATCTGGGTGAGATAAAGACCCTTGCTTTCTTTTCCTAAAATCATCAGGCATATTTCCAACCCATGTCCAATTATATTGTCACATATTTTACCATAAAAATTGATTTTGACTAGAGTAGCCTGACTGGGAGGGGAAGAACACAAAAGGTATCACTCCTCAGACTGCCTTGTCCCAGTTGTTGCCAAACCTAGGCTAGCTTTTGATTATTCCCAATATGAGCTTTAGTTGTATTATGTTTTTACTAATTTATTTTTGTTCTTTCTTTCACATGTATTTTTGTAAGGCTGTATGTCAGAGATTATATATTCTTTCATTACATCAATATTTTTTCTCCATTGTTTTGCACAAGTGTTACTAAAATCGTGAGGATAACAGTGTCTAATATTTACTGAGTCCTTACATGATAAACAAGGTTCCCTGTAATTTACATGTGTTATCACATATTATTACTTGCTATCTTAAAGTTTTGGAGTCCTGGTATGGTGCTGTAGGATAATCACTGGACCATAAGGTCAGTTTGAACCAAAACATAGGCAGTTCGAACTCATCAGCCACTACTTAGAAATCCTATACTCAATGGCACTTAACAATAACAGCAATCATAAATTTTGCACATGTTGTTCTCTTTTTCTTTCTTGCATTATGTTAAAGTCCTCATGCTCACATTTCATTTATTTATTCTTTTGGTTTTCATACTCTTTACCCTAAAGCAAAATCTCCTCCAATGTTACTTGTTTTTTAAATAAACTGTGTATGTAGCTTTCTCATGATGCCACTCCCAATGAGTTTGATTGTGGGAAGTGCAAAGTTTCAGTCCCAGTACCTAATTTCAGTCTCAAGACTAGCAATCCAGAGCTTAACTAAAATAACACCCATACCTACCAGCACTATTTAGTTTTCTGCCACTTTGAAATTCTAAGGTAAATGAAACACCTACATCCCTAAAATGTGTTCCTGACTGATTTCCTCTGCTTCTTTCGGTGCTGATAAAAATATACGTGGGTAAACATTCATTTCAAAATTAAGTGTGCTCCTAGCAAGCAACCTCTTGGTCATCATCTCTGCTACTTTCTTAAAATAAGATACTTAGGGCAAGGAAGAAGTTTTAGACCACTTATAGATTGCTGTTAAGTGCAGTCAAGTCAGTTTCAACTCAAGGTGATCCTGTATAGGGTTACCAAGGAGTATCTGGTGGGTTTAAAGCACTAACCTAGTGGTTTAATTTAGCATTTATCCTACAGTACCACACCAGGACTCAACCAAAATCCTTCCTGTTGTAAAGTGCCATCGAGCCAGTTCTGACTTCTAGTGACCCTATATAGGGTTTCCAAGATGTGGCTGATGAGTTTGAACCATCAACTTTTCGTTCATACCGACCTGCAGTCCAACACATTAGCAACCTTAGGTTTAATTGTTGTTTGCTGTTTAGTGCAGTCGAATCAGTTCTGACTCAGAGACCCTGTGTAGGGTTTCCAAGAAGTAGCTGGTAAGTTTGAACTGCCCCCTCTTACGGTTCAAACTGACCTTGTGGTCTACTACATGATCCCACAACGCGACACCAGGACTCTTGGTGTAGTTAAACACCCTAAAGCATCCTGATTTTAGGATATGGCTCAAATTTTGCATCATTAATTATCTATGTTCCTTTTTTTTTTTCATTTATCTGTAATGAATTCCTGGTGTGGCACTGTACGATCAGCACTGGACTGTGAGCAGCAAGGTCAGCAATTCAAATCCACCAGCTGCTCCTGAGAAACCCTACACAGGGTCACTAGAATCAGAACAGACTCCATAACATTTAACAACAACAATCGGTGTTGATAATTTAATAGAAAGTTGGGAGACATTGTTTGATATTGCTAACTAAAGTTTCTTTAAAGAGGAAATCTGTTGCAAATCTCAGAAAGAAATTTCTGATTGCAATATAAAATGTAAATTAGAAAAATTTCATTAAAGTCAGCAACTGATGATCAATGGATAACAGATGAGGGTATATCCAGATTTACTGATGAAGCTACATGATCCATAGAGCTACCCTAGATCTATAGAGCTACATCAAAATGGGAACACAAGTAGATAAATTGTGGAGAAAGAGTAGAAGACAGAATTTTGACACATTTCAGGATATCATAACATCCAAGTGGAGAAATCAAGGAGTTGTATATATGGATTTAATATTTATGAGATTAATCTGAAATAAAGATAAATACTTTAAAGCAGGAAAACAAATAAAGAAAAGTCATTGTCCATGGAATGCTTATAGAATTGAAAGCGTATAGAGATACACTTTTCCAGTCAGTTTGGTGTGGCACCGTAGGAGAAGCACTTGACCGTCAACCATGAGGACAGTAGTTGGAAACCCTATGAGTTCTGCTATGGGTAGGAACTGGTTTGACGGCATTAACAACCATTATCTTTGAAAAAATTCTCAGAAAAGATTCCATTCTTGTTGATAATCTGTATTATCAAATTGTTGTTGTTGTTATTAAGTGCCGCTAGTCTGGTCCAACCCGTAGCGACCTTATATAGGGTTTCCGAGGAGTGGCTGGTGTGCTTGAACCGCTGAACTTGCAGTTCAAACCGACTTTACACTCCAGAGTATTAATCCACAGCACCACACCAGGACTCCTTGGATACCAGAAATTAAATAAAAATGGAAATTCTTATTAAAATGGTCTTAGATGTCATCTAAAGGAATAATAATAATAAAACTAAAGAAATGTAAAACATATTTTTAGTAATAGCTTCATTTTTAGAATAAAATTGTTTTCACAATGGATCAGTTTAAATTATAGCACCAACTAGTATGCTTTGTTGTTGTGTGTTAAGTGTCATCGAGTCAGTTAGGACCCATAGTGATCCTGTATAGGGTTTCTGAGGAGCAGCTGGTGAGCTTGAACCACTAACTTTGCAGCAAATTCAAATCAACTTTGCAGTCCAGTGCATTAACCCACAGTGCCATTCCAGTAGTACGCTTAAGAACATATTATTTGCTTAAAATAGTCTCATGACTGTATTTATACCTCATGTAACATGTACACAATCATGAAATAAAAATAAAATTGTTTTAATTGCAAACCATATAAATTTTGTATAAATTAAGTTAAATCCATAACTCTCACTCACATTCACCTTATATATTGATGCAATATTATATTATAATTAATTAAAGCAAATTTATAATGTAGCATAGTTATAGCACAAGTTCTAAACTAATTGTATCTTCTCTGACTGATTCCATGTTTCCCTCCTTCAAGTATTATTATCTGAGGGATTGTAACTAAACGTTTAAATTTATGCATTTGTAATAATGCTTCTCTGTAGGTTTGTCATGAGATGCAAATGAATTAATCTATGTAAAATAGATAGGATATTCTATGGAACAGAGTCTGGGATCAATTAGTCCAATGGACCAGGTGAACATCTGTCACCATAACTTTGAGACCAAAACTAAGTGGTACCCAGTGACCACTACCAACTGCTCTGAAAGGGATCACATTACAAGGTTAAGGATAGAGTGGGAGATAATGTGGAATAAAACTCAAAATTATAAATTAAAAAAAAAAAAAAAAAAAACAGGCTTACTGGTCAGAAAGAGACTGAAATGAAAGAATCTAAGCCTACGGCCCTCAAACACCCTTCAGATGTGGAATGGAGCTCACCCTCATGGCCCAGTATTTAGCCAAGCAATACACAGGTAGTAATAGGGGATTGCAATTATTGAGATGAAACAGTGTATGATTTGTCGAATGCTGAAAACTGATGATCTTTTCTGTAAACTTTCAGTAAGTTCACAATAAAAAGCTATAAAAAATTATTGATGAAAATACATGATTTAAAATAATAAACACCAAATAAATTTATTTCAGTGAATTCAAATGCAAGTGAAATGATTTAAAAATCATATATTAAGCCTTGGGTTTGCTAATAATACTCTATCAGTTGGTCTGTGAAGTGGGTACATGGCTACATACACATGTAAATGTTAACAGAATTGTACTCAAGTTTTTGCACTCTACTGAATGTATATTTAACCTCAACTAAAAGTAATTTTTAATTCCTATTTTAGAAAATCAAGATTTTGCAAGAGAATTCTGTTCCTGAAGATCATAATGTCAGACTCCCATAACTCTACCTCCCCTACTTTCCTCCTGACTGGGATCCCTGGTCTTGAATGGGCCCATGTCTGGATATCCATTCCTGTCTTTTGCCTCTATTTAACTGCCCTTTCTGGAAATACCTTGATCCTGTTTGTAGTCTTCACTGAGCCTAGCCTTCATGAGCCCATGTACTATTTCCTCTCCATGTTGTCTACCACTGATATTGGTTTATGCATCTCTACCCTGATCACAGTTCTGGGAATATTCTGGCTCAATGCCAGAGAGATCAGCTTCAATGCTTGCTTATCCCAGATGTTTTTCATTCACCTCTTCACTTTCATGGAATCTTCGACACTCCTGGCTATGGCCTTTGACAGGTTTGTGGCCATCTCTAACCCTCTGAGATATGTTACCATCCTAACTCACGCAAGAATTGCACAGATTGGTGTGGCAGTCATTATCAGAGGGACTGTGATTTTGACACCATTGGTACTGCTCCTGAAACGTCTATCATTCTGCCGCAACCACGTGCTCCGCCATTCCTACTGTTTTCACCCAGATGTGATGAAACTTTCATGTTCAGACACAAGGATCAATAGTGCATTTGGACTAACTGCAATTATCTCTACTGCTGGAGTGGACTCCATCTTTATCTCACTTTCTTACATTCTCATTATTCACTCTGTTCTCAGCATTGCATCTCCAGAGGAGAGGAAAAAGGCCTTCAACACCTGCATCTCTCATATCACTGCTGTGGCCATATTCTACATTCCTTTGATCAGTCTGTCTTTTGTTCACAGGTTTGGTAAACATGCTCCACCCTATGTGCCTACCCTCATTGCTAATATATACTTGCTAATCCCTCCTGTGATGAATCCTATCATCTATAGTGTGAAAACAAAACCAATTCAAAAAGCTATGCTTAAACTTGTATGTTCTAAAGGAACTCATATTTAACAGTTATTTCTCTCACAAAAACTTTGGTGAAGACTTATCACAAATCAGAGTTATAAACATATGCAATTTTAAAATATGCAACATGAAATTCAAGCATCTCAACATTTAAACAATACTTTACTTTCTACCATCAAAACACTAATTCAAATTGACACTATCTCTCAGATAATCTATTCTAATAGCTGATTAACTATCCACTCTTTATATTATTTCTGCTCAAAATCATTCACTTTGAATTAATTTTCAAAATGATCAGCTCTAATAAAATTTAAAAATAAATAATAAACATCTTTTCCATATTTATTCCTCATGCACTATGTAAATGGAATGACAACTCCAGTTCATAATAGCTAAAGTTTGGGTTCGGTGCTCCTTTAAAGTTCAATCTCTCTCTCTCTCTCCCTTCATTTATTCTGCAGTTTCAGAATAAGACTATCTACTAGCTCTTCCTTCATACATGTGTAATTTCCATACTGCTGGTTTTAATTGCTGACTTCACTTCAACCTTAACACCCACTTCTCCAGCTTGAAATTCTACCTGTGTGTCAGGGCTCATCTTTAGTTATCTCTTTGTTAAACTTTTCATGATTGTTCCAAAGTAGTTTGATCTCTCCTTCCCATAATTTGCCTTTCATAATGCCTTGTCTGCATCATTTTTGCCTGTATGAATAAGCATGCTTGCACACATGTATATATCATAGATAGGTAGGTAGATAGATAGATAAAAAGATAGGTAAGTAGGCAGATAGATTGGCGGATGGATGGATAGGTAGATAGATAGATAGATAGATAGATAGATAGATAGATAGATAGATACCTGGAAGTATAGATGGCTATATAGGGACAATAATTATTGTAGCTTCCACAAGGCTGCAATTTCCCTCAAGTCCAAAATGCCTTTATTATCTTTGATGTCCTAAAATAATCACAGTAAATAGTCAACACATAGTTGTTGAATTGAACAGAACTTACTAGACATCAAACAATGCATCTGAACAATTTCAGTGGTAATAACTCAATCAATTCCATTGACTGGCATGCCTAACATAAGGCATTTGTCTTACATTGGCGTGATAATTTTCTGCTTGTATTATCTAGCAATTGATCATAGTTCTGACTTTTCAAAAGCATATAGTCGAAGGGCTATTTTGGAATCTAAGATTTCATCCCAGGTTAGTAGAATGACCATATGACAAAAAATAATTTATATTATAAATTGCATGCTCAATTTAAGATACATATATATACAACGATATGTCAAAAATTTCCTACAAAATCATAGATATTTTCATTAAACAAAATATTAAAATGTGAAGCTATTGTTTCTCAACATATCCTCCATCTGGGTCTCTACACTTCTGAAGGTGGTGTTTATATCACTCTAACCCTTCCCAGGGAAGCACGGTGGCTCATAGAATAAGTACAACAATGTCGGCAGTTGGATCTCACCAGATGCTCTGTGGGACAAAGATGAGGTTTTCTGCTTCCTCAAAGATTTTTCAAAAGCCTTAGAAACTATAAACATGGTTGCTATGAGAGGAAACCAACTAGACGGCACTTAAAACAATGACAACAACCCTTCCTAGGAGAATTTTGCACCCTTTAATTTACACCATATCAAAATTTCTGTTTTGGCATCCTCTAGGGACTTAAATTGTATTCCTTTGAAATGTTCTTTGAGTTTTGAGAATAAAAAAGTCTGAATGGCGAAATTGGGGCTTTAGAGAGGCTGGCATAAAATTTTCCAGTGAAATTCTCCTAGGACAGCCCTTACCACCTTCGAAGGATGAGCAGGTGGACTGTTGTAATGGACAAACAAATTCCATGGGGCAAATATCTTGGTCTTTTTCTCACCGATGCAGTTTTCAAACTGCTTCTAAGTAAGTCTGCAAGATCATTCTTTGTTCTTTGAGAGAATCTATGAAGATTATTCCTAAAAACAGTTACCATATTCTTCTGAGCCTTGAATTTAACTGGCCCAACAGGTACCCTCAGACATCACTATTGGAACCCAGGTTTGGTGCAATGTGTTAATGCGCTGGACTGTGAGGCCGGTTTGAACCACAAGGTATTGGTTCAAGCTCACCAGTCACTCATGGGGAACCCTATACAGGGTTGAATGAGTTGTAACTGACTCAATGGCACTGAATAACAACAAGACTAAAAACTTGCCTGCAGCCATCCATTGATCACAGAGTTAGCAGTCAAGTGCTTATCTTAGGTGCCACATAAGGAGTCCTGGTGTGGAGCCATAGGTTAAGCACTGAACCACAAGGTTGGTTTGAACTGCAAGGTCAGTGGTTCAAATTCACCAGCTGCTCCTCAGAAGCCCTACAGGTTCACTATGAGTTGGAACTGACTGAAAAGATATAACAGACAGATAACAGTTGCTAATTAGGTAATTAAGAAAAAAAAATTCCCAGATTCTAAAGACAAAAGCTAATGAACTCTTCTCAAGGGCTCATTCATTTTCTTCCTGAATTCAGTGAATCTATGTTACTTACTTATACTAACATCTAAATAAACCTTAATCTCTACTTCATGAGCTTAACTTAGGACACGAAAATCTTTAGACAAGTTCAGTCTAGCAGTTTCCTTATAGATCTCTAGATATTCAATCTTGTCTCTCATTAGTTCTATTGCCACATCAAAAACAACTTTGAAAAAGTCATTAAGTTAATTTAAAATATGGTATTGTTGTTAAGTACCATCTAGTTGGTTCTGATTCACAGAGATACTGTATGGGGTTTCTGAGGAAAGCCTAGTAAGTTTGAACCACTGACCTTGAGATTAGAGTCCAGTGTGTATCCTACAGTGCACACCAGGACTCCTTTAAATATGTGGGTAATAATATATATAATTACAAAGATATTGCAAAAAAAGCTAAAATTCCCCAACTTCCAGTCTTTCTACTATAACCATAGTTAATAACTGTATAAAATTGATTTTTGTCCTTCCATATTCTATGCAGTTCTATACATAGATGTTAAGAAAAAAATGAGATATAATTTTTATCATTTGTATCTCAGACAGTAGCAAGGGTTTCTTAGATTTTTAAAGAAAATTGCTCATTACCTAGAGTTCCTACAGATCTCATCGTCTTTTCATACTACCCATTTAGCATCCTTCTAGGTTGTGGGTCCAGTCTCCCTCTCTACCTGCTTACATGTTTGATAAACTAGTTCTGGATTCTGACTTCGTATAGATTTATTTTTTAAATAATGCCATAGTTTACTATATCGACAAAATTGCTTCTCTAAATTCCACTCGTATCAATCGTTGTTGTTGTTAAGTGCCGTCGAGTTGGTTCAGACCCATAGCGACCCCGTACAGGGTTTCTGAGGCTGTAAATCTTTATGGGAGCAGAAAGCTTCATCTTTCTCCTGCGGAGCGGCTGGTAGTTTCAAACTGCTGACCTTGCGGTTCGCAGCCCGATTCGTAACCACTACGCTACCAGAGCTCCTACCACAATTACTACAGCTCATTGTCAAGCCCAATCCCTTGTAACTGATGATGGCTACCAACTCATCTCACTCTAATGTACAAACTTAAATTTTTATGAGGTGTATCTGCATGCAGTGTATCTCTACAACACACTTTACCATACAAATCATCACCAAATAGGATTCTCAATTTTGTGACTATGTTAATAGAAAACTATAAGACCAAGAACATGGCAATCCCAAACTCTATTTTTACTCACTTTCCAACACCAAACAAGTACTAAACATGTACTCCGTGGGGAGACCAGCTCTCCGCGAGGGTAGTGGGACACAAGAGGATATGCGGAATCAGTGGATGAAGAAATGAATACAATCTAAAGGCTTTTCAGCTTGCTGTGCTGTCCGGCTGTTCTCTCCACCTTCTGCTTTCTTCCCTCTGCTTTCTGCTCCTATTCTCTGTTTTCTCCTACTTTTTTTTTGCTGCTGCTGCTTCTACTTTCTGCTTTCTGGCTCTGCCCCTAGTGCTTCTGCCCCTACTGCCTCTGCCTTCTGCTTCTTTCTGCCCTATGCCTTATGCTGTCTGCCTTCTGCCTCTTTGCTCCTCCCTCCTTTCCTCTGCTGCTTCTGCCCTCTTTCTCTTCCTCCCACTTTCTGCTGGCCCAGCTCAGCAAGTCTTTATTTTTAATACTTAAAATTACACAGTACATGAATTGACACTTTTATCTTTTCTTGAATTATTACACAGTAAGTCACAACATTCTTGCACCTGGTCATTAGACAACCTTGACAAAAATACTTCTGTGATGTTCAGACTGACCTTCATCTCCTTTCCCAGTATGTGATAAACTGTTTCTTCTTGTTTCTACTAAAAGACTATAAACTTTCTATCCTACATAATGTGCTATTATTTTCATAATAAAGGTATTCATTAAATCACTTGGAAGCTATGTGGCATAAAGCCCAACCTGGCTACTTGCTGCAAGAAGTGTAGATTATTAAGTCAAAACCATCCTTCACTTAAGTTCATTATTGTCTGCTTGTTTATGCAGGTGTCTGTATGTAGGGGTTTGAGAATTCTAGCTAGTGACTGATTGTGGTGAGGTCTATGGGGGTAGATCAGCTTGACTCTAATATGCTATCTGCTTTTGTGGTCTCATGAATGCAGTTACTTAGATTTTCTAATGAAAGGGAGTAATTTACACAATTCTCTTTGTATTCAATCCACCAAAGCTGAAAGCAATTGCTGCTAAACTAGTTTTTCCTAAGGTTTATAGAACTCATAGTGAAAAGCTGTGAATATTGCCATATTATATATTTTTACAAGTAAATTCAGAGTTAACTTGAAGGGAAGATAGGGACTAGCTTTTGAGAGTCATTTGCTGTGCATAATGTCTCTCCCCCCCACTGCAGCCGTGCCAAGCAATGGGAGTTAAGCACTTCCCACAGTACTCTAAACTAGCTACTGGGACAGATATTAAGAAAATAAAAGTGAACAAAATTAGCTTCTTGATTTAGTGCCTAGTAAAAAATAAAATTTCCAAACATGTTTGTTGTTGT